AAGGCCTTTCCTCTTACTTCTCTTCCAGTGCATTAATCTCCTTAGTCAGAGAGTCCGTGGTAGCAGCTGATCTGCCTTTCACATACCTATTCCAAGACCTCATGTTTTTTTTCAACAATTTCAACTTTTGTTGTAACAGTAAACCAGCGTACCCCTGCACACTATAGCTACTCCACTTGTCCTTGACAAGGCTGTTAAAATCTCCATTATCAAGCTAATGATTAAAAAACTTGAATGGCTTAAGACCCTAATCAAAATCGTCAATTCCCAAACAAATGGCTACATGGTCTGAAATTGTAGTTTCCAAGCTCCATTGGTTAATTGAAGAGAATGAGGACAGCCAGCGTGGAGATGGAAGGAATCTGTCCATTGCAAGAGAGTTGCTTCCTCTACACCATGTGAATCTTTTGCCAGCCAATGGAAGATCCACCAGTTTCGTTTCCATAACAATGTTTGCAAAATCATTTGTAGACCTTGTAATATCCGAGCTGCCGTCATCATTCAACACCGCATTGAAGTCACGTGAATAGCACCATAATTCATTACTACTGTTTAGTTTTGCTAATTCATCAAAAAAGGCCTCCCTCTTACTCACATTGTTTGGAGCATAAACATTAATCAATTTTACTGACTCAGAATATCTTGCAAATTTTCCTTTCATCCAGATGTAGTGTTCTTTAACAATCACCGTTGCAACCTGAAATTCATCCCCTGATCACATACTAAAACGACCCCAAGCGAACCTATTTGCATCACTATGGGTAAACTCAATCCCATCCCTATCCCAGACCTGGGAGATAATTTTATCTGAGACACCAGAGAATTTTGACTCCTAAATGAAAATAATAGTCGGTTTCTCCCTATTAATTAACTTCTTCAAAGCCCTCCTCTTCACATTCAAACCAATCGCTCTTAGTTTAAGGAAATTATCTTCATTATTACAACAATAAAAACCTGAGAATGAAGGACGTTTAGCACATAGCTTCGCATTCACGTTCTCTATCTCCATTGCCATTAATTTCTCTATAACTTGCTCCTCCCCTGTTGTAGCTGTTAGACCCAACAATTTACCAACTTCAATTATTTTTTCAGCTTCCATTCTAGGGCTCTATTCTGACTCCGAATATCTTCGTCTGATAGATTTACGCCTTCAAAGGTTTGTGTCGCAGCTCTTCTATCTCCTTCCTTTTAACTTGATCGCGATTTCTTCTTCCATGATTGGATTTCTTGCTGTGAACATTGGGTTTCCTCGAATGAGTAATGTCTTCATTAACAGTCATGAATCTCTTACCCTTTTTTCTTTAGCACCTGTCTACATTGCATCCCCCTTAAAATCATTACATATAACTATAGTGCACTCTTTTAATTTTGTTTTGTTAGTAATATTTTTTAAAAAATTTCTTCATTGCTACACAGGGTGACTTTGAGTCTTTGACTTAAAGAATGAAATTGAAGACATGTTAACACGTTGCACATTTCTTCAATATCCACTTTCTTCGCATGTGAGTATGAGTAACACTTGTTTAAGTTGGGTTACTTATTTGATTTAATCAGTTTTTGAAAAAAATGTTTTAAAATTAGAGCTGCCCTAACTTGTTCCAAACTATTTAAAAATTAATAAAAAAATATTTTTATTTAATTTTAATTAGAAAATATTATAAATTTATTTTTATATTTTAATATATATTTTTTAAAAAATTGCATTTATTGGGCTTGACATGATTCGGCTTATAAACAGATTTACATATGAGGCTTATTTAACTCAATTATCGAAAGGACAATACATCTAAACCATAATAAAAGAATTAAGTTCAAATCTTCTTCTTTCGGTACAATAAAATAAATTCCATTTTCATGAAATTAATTAACTACTCCTCAAACGTGAAAAGTGAAAGAATTAAATTTTGTGCTAACCAAATGATCATACAATCAAAGCCTGTAACGATATTTAAGGACCACTATATAGCATTTTGTTTGTCAACAAAATTAATAAAAGGCAAAACAATAATTAAACAAAAATTACTAGTTCAAATATTGTTAATTGATGTTAAGGTGAAATCTTGCATTTTGTAATTCATAAATGTTGAATTTTTAGTTTTTATTCTATAAAAATGTTATTTTTGTTATGGTGGTCAAGCAGGCTTTTAGTTTTTTGCATCCCGAAGGACAAAGTATAATTAAAAACAACAGTTCAAAGAGGAAAACCATGGCTTAATATTGATTTTAAAATAAAATTTAGTAGGTATCAAGTATAGTGGACTCCACCCACAAGGATTAATCTCGTTGGTAAGAATAAGAACTCTTTTTCTTGGCAATTTGATCCTTATGAGAAGCACTTGAGAAGTAAATTTCCGAATAATGAACCAGGCACATGTTGGAGAATGCGCTGTGGCTGTTTGTGGCAAATTCCAATGTTTGTCATAAATTTTCTTTTTAAATGACTCTCTCCTTTGAATCTCTCGAAGGAGAACACAACAACGAATTGACCCTTTTCCTTTTATATATTTTAGTTGCGAAGATTTAAATCTTAAGAGGAAACATCAATGAAAGAAACCGTTATTAACATGTACTGAAGGAAGATAAAAATAATAATATTGAGTTCAAATGAAAGAGATTGATCAATTGAAATGATCAAAAGAAAATGAGACTGAACTTAAATTAATTGGATATGACCTTTTAAAAATAATTATATAATTAACTAAGTTAAGTTTTGAATTTTTTAATATTAAATTTTATTTGCACTCTATGTGAATCAAATCATTTTGCTAACTCTTTAGCAAATCAAATTAAGGTGTGGGTAGAGATTATGATTTAGCTGCTTGGTGCTGCGTGGCTAGGTCAATGGGCTTCCTAGTTTTTGTTGTGAAGTTTTATTCTTTATATGTTCTGCTTTCCTTTTTTTTTTAGTTGATATGTAATAAAATTCGTTTACATTTCAAAAAAAAAAAAATCGTTAAAGTTTAGATAAAAGGTAACGGAATTGAAATATGTCACAAAAGTTAATAAAATTGCTAAATTTTCATCAATTTCGTTTTTTGTCAAAAGTAAACAAAATTGAAAGAATATCGACAATTTTAATTAAAACAAATTAAAATATAGTAGCAAAATTAGCTATTGGCTCATAGTAGAGTGAAAATGTTGACCCTAATCCTAAAATAATTAGTAGATAATTAGTCCAATGGTCCTCGAGATTATGACATCTCAACCTCTGTAATTTATAATTCAATAGTCTCGTATTCAAATCTTATCGAAAAGTGTTGAACGGATTGAATTGAAGATGAATACATCGTATTGTGGTGGGCCTACACATGTATAAGAAAATTAATTCAATATTTTTAAAAAAATTCCACATATAATTTTCTCCGTTAATTCTAAATTTATTAATTTCCTTTTTCATTGTCTTCTCAATCTCTTTGGTGCGAACTCAAATGTGTGCTACTTTCTTCAAAACGTATTCATCTCCTCAAACTAATGGTGATTTTCAAATTTAAAAACTACATCAGCTTGATAGAAAATGCGTAAAGTAATTTTTATAGTAGCTAGCTATCTTGGAAAATTTCAAATAAGTTGAGAAAATTCTCTTGTTTACACCAATATTGTGGAGAGAGAAAACTTCAGGAACCATCATGGAACAATCATGAATAATTAAATTTCATTGTTGTTGTAGAAAACAAACCATTTTCATAGTGATAACTTGGTAGGATGCATGGTTTGGCATACATGTGAGGATTTTCTCTTGAACCAAAAAGAAGCCAATCATCTATCATCTATCATCATCATAAATTGAAAGTTTTCTACAAATAAATATAATGGAGACATAAGTAAACAAAAGACATAAAGAAAATTCTTGATTTTTTATGGATAACCTTGACATTTTGTGGGAATGATTAATTGGGAGTTGCATATTGAGCTCATTTTCAGATATTGCATGAATTTCTTTGTTGGGCTTTATGTTTAATATTTTCGGTTATTTCATGTGTTAATTTAAAATTTTTTATAACTTAATTTATCTTTTTTGTTATACTTATTTAATTTGTAAAATTTTATGTTAGTTTGATATCACTTAAAATTTGATTTGGAATTATTATAACAATAGATTGTATTTGTCAATTTATGTGTCAGTTTTAAATATAAAAATATTAATATATATGTATGTATGTGTGAAGAGATATCAATTTACAACAATGTAAAATTAAAAAATTTTATACTTTTTTAACCATTGATTTTAATAGATTTAATAAATGAGAGAGAAAAGTGAAAAAAAATAAAAAAATGATTTAATATTATCTTTTGAATTTATTATAATCAATTGTTAAAAAGTATAAAACTGTATTTAGGGATCGATTTTGATCGATGAAAATATTATTTTATTGGAAAAAAAATGTTGATTCTCTTGATAACATTAGAAATAGTAGGAACTTTAGCATCTAGAGATAAGGAAAGAAATAGCCAAATATTTTTGATTGACTGACAAATATTTAATTGAATTGAAATTTTTTTGCCTAACACCTTCGTCTTATTAATTTTTGATTGACTCGGTATTTACCTCCCTGAATGAATGAATAATTAAACATTTGATCAATAGTGGCCCCCCATTTTAGACAATACAACGCTATTCAGGTGTTAAACAAGCATTTTCTTGTTTCGTTTCTAACAGAAACATCCAATGTACTGTTGACTTGTGTTTGTCTTCAACCGATCTTGTCCTTTTTTTTCTTTTCACATAAAAGTTTCCACTTACCTATCCCATATTATGAAATAAAAAAAGACTCATTGACATCCATATTTTTCCAGGTAAACTCCTCCTTTGCCCTTAATGGTTTTCAAACAAGAGCCACAATCTAGGAAAGAACGTCCTAATTAATTATTTGCGTCTTTGACAAGTTGTTTAATTCGATGATCAGATTAATCTTTGAAACATTATGATATAAATAGAATAGGCCAAGAGACTAAAGTGCCATATATGGGAAGAAGAATTGAGTTATAGAGTAGTCTCAAAGATGGTGAGGCAACCATCCTGGGACAGAACATGCCTAAAGAAAGGAACATGGAGCCCTGACGAAGATCAGAAGCTGATTACTTATATTATGAGACATGGCATTTGGAATTGGAATGAAATGGCCAAATATGCTGGTATGAGACATCTCTAAATTAAGTTCAATTTTTTTGGTATATAGGAAGATACAGTCTAAGAATAGGTACTAACATTCGAATTTTAGATCTATTAGATGCTACCTTTTAATAGTAGCTGTATGAGTCAATTAAAATAAGTTATGGATTCTAAATTAAATTTAACTTTGATCATAACATGAACAAAAAGCTACTAATTTAATATAAAAATTAAATTTTATTAGGATTTTGCGATTACTGATTACTGATTAGAGTATATACATTACATGCACTTTGTTTTTATTTCTAGGTTTGTCAAGATCAGGGAAGAGTTGCAGACTTCGTTGGGTGAATTACTTGAGGCCTAATATAAAGCGTGGGAACTTCACCAGGGAGGAAGAAGAAACGATAGTCCAGCTGCAGAAGATGCTAGGAAATCGGTTAGTAACAACACACACAAACATCAGTATTTTCAAAACAAAGATTATTGTTAGGATGATTGTTTCTGATTTTCACAAATTTTTAATTATTTTCAGATGGTCAGCAATTGCTGCAAAACTGCCACAAAGGACTGACAATGATATTAAGAACTACTGGAACACTCGCTTGAAGAAAGGAGCAGTGGAAAACAATTCAGCATCAGCGATTGCATCACGTTCAGAAATTAATTCAAGTCTCGACGCCGGGGAGGAGAATTCGTCTGATGCTGATTCCTCAATGTTCCTCAATAATTTGTTGGACTCACCAATTCCTACACTGGAAGACTTCCCTTTACCAGCCACTTATATTTTTTCTCCATCAGACTGCAACCGTGGTGCGGTAGTTGATGACAATTATACCATGGAGGACAATTTTATTTCATCTGAAAAGCAGCCACAGCCTATGTCACCAAATTCTCAGCTGTGGCTCCATGACCCCATATATGTTCGTGATTCCGACTATGATCCTGTGGATGATTTCTGGGTCAATCCATTTTTTTAGAGCTGCATAAAGAGTGAGAGCTGACTCCCTCCCCCGCTTTTTTTTTGATTTATGTGTTGGTTATGCATTTCTCGCACGTGAGAAATTCGATGTCGATTAGTATTACTATTAGATATAATATATATATATATATATATGGATGCTTAAAGTGATATTGGTCATATTTCAACATATAATTGCTGGTGTGCTGCAATTATGAAAACATAGAGATTGTCAAAAAATTTGAATTAGTAGAATTAATTGCAAATTTGATACCTGATTTTTAAAAAATATATATAAATTGATATCTAAAGAAATATATTGTTAGTGACATTTTTTAATTTTACAGACAAATTACGAAATTAACACGTTATTCACCTTTTAATTAATTTTATATTTTTAATATACCATAAGAAATTTGTGTAATTCTATTAGTCTTGATTGTGAAATTTAAAAACTTCTCGATCTCAATGTATTTAATAATTTTTTTTATATATATTTGCCACACCACCACAATGCTTAGTCAAAAATGGAATAGAGGTGACGACAAATTTTGTGCTGTGTCATGCACCAAAGAAATTATGCGCTGAGTCGCAAATTGTAACTTTTTTTTTCTTTATTTTTGGTCTAGATAACTTTTAATTTATCCACCAGGCTTTAATTTGTCTTGCTTCCCCTTTTTCTCTTGGGCGGTTGGATACAATTTCAAAGCCTCCTTAAACAAACAATTTTTTTCATCATGGTCATGTAAGATGTAAACCGATATTTCTTTAAAAAAGACTTTGGTATGATAGGTCACCTTGCTGAACACGACTAATCATTTAGCATTTTCAAGTTTCAACTAAAAATCACTGCCGCCTATTTATGCCTTCTTTTTTTAATAAAAAATCACAACAAAAGAAAAAAAAAGAAGAAAAAGAAAAGGAGAGAGATGCAATGGTGAAAATGAATATTGAAGAAAATCTATGGATTTTACAGGCAACAAAAGAAAAATGGAAAACAAACAAGGATATAGTTTTGTAAACTATATATGAAGTTATTAATACCTCACATATAGTTAATATATTGGCATTGACTATACTTCATTTAACTTAATTTGTTTATTTACCATATATTTTTTTAATAAATTATGCTCCTACTACAAAAAAGTTATTTTTACAGACATTTACAAGTATGGGTAAAATACCAAAAAGTTGTTGGTAATAGTTTCACCGGCGGTCTAACTACTCATGTCAGAATAGGTTTTGTATTTAATGGTAAGATCATTTTAGGCACTTTTAACTGCCCTTATGAGGGTCCATTTGGATCCCCATTTCATGCCGTGCGATATGGGTGGAAGAGGCAACCACACTGATGTCTTTTGGATACCATAAGTATAACAAGGTAAAACCATTTTCACCGTTCTGTACTCATGATTTGCAGCTGGAGGTTCAAGGTCTAGCAGAAAATAGTGTTTCCACCGGAGCCTCCATTTCCTCTTTTATCCCTTGTTTCTTGATTTCTATTTTTTAAATTTTTATAAATATTTTCAGTTATTTAGTTAAAGTGATAAATAATTAAACAAGTAAATAACAAAAAATTTGAATAAATGCACAAATAAATATATTTATGCATATAATTAATTACACAAAATAATTTTATATATAATTTATTTTATATAATAAATAATTACAACATTATAAATATATAAATAGAAACACTAAAATAAAATATATACAAGAAATTTTAGTAATTTTTAATTATTTGTTAAATTTACAATATTAAATATATACTATAAATTTTATTATATATAAATTTTAATTTAATATTTTTAACGATTATTTTCTTTTCTCACTATACTTCAGCTCACCATCATTCTCTATGTTTGTATACAAACATATATCCTATTACTAATTTTATCTCATTACTACAGTAATTAATTTCAATACCACAATTGTTTTTAATCCACTTGAAACTAATCTTACCACAAATTCAAATGGATCCTAAGTAAATAACTCTATAAGGCAATTTAATCTTCCAATAAAAGCCTTCATATGCATGCATATAAATATATTTATTTCATAAGTTTGGATTAATATAAAAATAAGCTCGGAACTATACATTTTTTTTAGTTTGATATTTAAAAAAATTAAATTATTAGCTTGATACTTTAACTTTCATTTTGTTATCATGTTAGTATTTTGAACTAATACTGTTAATCTAAAATGTTGATGTGGCATTAATATCCAATAAAGCACTAACATTTGCCAAAAAATCCAATCAATGACACATTATGTATGCCATGTCAACAAAAAAGAATATTCTAAAATATTCTAAAACATTCTTAAAATTTTTAAAAATTTTACAAAACTTTAGAAAATTAAAAAAAATCTCAAAATTTTAATTAAAAATTCAAAAAATTTCAAAAAATTCAAGAATTGGAAATTTTAAGAAAAATGAAAAATTCAAAAAACCTCAAAATTTTAATAAAAATTCAAAAAATTTCAAAAACTTAAAAAATATGAAAATTCTAATAAAAATAAAATTTTCTTTAAATTGAAAAAAAAAACACAAACTTAAAAATATTTAAAATAAAAAATATAAAAAAATTCTAAAAATTCTAAAATTTTTTCATATTTTTGAATCTTACACTTTCATTTTTTATAGCTATATTTTTTGAAAATTTCAATTGTTTTTGAATATTAAATTTTTATTTTTTATTTTCAAAAATTTTAAAATTTTTTTAGAATGCTTCAAAAATTTTAAATTATTTAATTTTCCAAAATATTAAAAAAATTTTAGAATTTTTGTAAAATTTTTCCTGCTTTTTCAAAACTTTTATATTTATTTTAAATTTTCAAAATTTTTGAAAAAATATACGATTTTTCTTAATTTTCAGTTTTTTAAGATTTCAGAAAATTTTAAAATGTTTTAGAATTTTTTTGAATTTGTAGAAAAAGTTTTAATAATTTTTTAGAAGTTTTATGAAGTTTTTAAAAATTTTAGAATTTTTTGAATTTTTAAAAATTTTCTTTTTATATTGATGTGGCATTAATGATGTGACACTGATTGAACTTTTTGACATGTGTCAGTGCCTTATATGATGTTTATGCCACATCAGCATTTCAGACTAAATGTGTTAGTATTAGGTACGAATGTGATAATAGAATGAAAGTTGAAGTACCAAACTAACAATCTTATTTCTTTAGGGACCAAATTGATAGAAACTGTATAATTTAAGGTCATTTTTATATTTAATCCTATAAGTTTTGCTATCACTTAAAACAACCTTTGAGAGTTTGAATTATAAATTAAATTAAAATACCAATAGTAACACACAAAAATAATAATAATAATAATAATATGGAAAAAGTAAATAAATAAAATAAAATAAAATAAAAATACCAAATTTGAGTCGGTCAATGGTGAGTCAACGTCGGTTAATGGTGGTTTGCGCCTGTGAACGATGGTAAATGATGAGCGATTTAGCAACAGTCTAAAATTCGTTCAATTGGATCGATTAGCAAGGGGAATAGGTCTTGGGTTAGACGTGCGGATTCAAGTTAGGTCACGGTCACACGAGGAACTTTTGCCCTTAAAATAGAGCCATTTTCGTCCCTCTTTTTTCTTGTTACCCTATAAAATCCTAAAGTTTTTTTTATTTCATTTCAAACTCTTTTTTTGCAAAAAAAAAAAAAACCCTCTCTTCTTTAAAAAAAAAATCAAAGGCTTTCATAGCTTTCAGTAAAGCCTCATCGTACCCACCATCAATTAGTCTCTTTTTAAAACTATATTTCACTCCAAGCTTTTTTTTTTCTTGCCCTTTCTCAAATCCAGCCTTTTTTTTCAAAAAACGACCTCAAAACCTCAGGTCTTTGCCAAAAGCCAAAAATTTCCAACCTCTCAAAATCACAAACTCACCATTAAATTTTTTTTTGGTTTTTTTTATATGTTGTTCTCCTTTTTTTGATCTTTATTTTCATTTGTCCTGATCATCCAAGAGATGTCATGAGCCAATTGGATTATTGTTATTGTTTGCCTCTATTCTGTCATCATCAGTGGCTTCTGATTTTCTCTTTCCGTTTTTTAGTTCCCCTTTTCTCTATGATCAAGGCTCTTGCCAGTTAGCTTCTAATGATTTTATTTTATTGTGTATACTAAAATTGATTTTTTGTTTTTTTAAGGTAGTTTTAGCATTGTGGTTCTTCCTTAAGAGGAAGACTGTGAATATTTTTTTTGGTTTTTTTATTGTTTGGTATGAAGATTTCTTTATTGATTTTTTTTTTTTGGTTATAATGGTGTTGATGATAGAAGGTAAGTCAAGGATGGTTTTTTCTGGGTGGTTGGGCCAAGAAACTAGGACATTGGTGGCTGGTTGGTCTTGAAGAGGTACGATGCTAGGATCCTGGATAGTGGATGGTGTTCTAGTGGGTTCGTTTCAAGGGTGGAGATGGGTGCTTAAAGTTGGTTGCTATGGGTGTCACAAGGGCTAGTTTGGTGTCTAGGTTTTGGCTGAGCACTGATGTCTTATTGGAGTGAATGGGTGCTAGGGCTATATGCAACTTGGTGCTGACCAAGGTTGGTGTTTTTAGGAGCTTTAGGGGGCAGGTGGTTGGGCAGGGTATGGGTTTCAAGATAGGTTGTTTAGGGTAGGTGGCTCAGTGTCTCTTTTTTTTTTAATTAATTAATATTAAATATTTTATTTAATATTTAGTTATAAAACTAAATAACAATAATAATAAGGTAATAACTAAAATTAAAAATAAAAGTAAAAGTAAAATAGTGGGCCTAGGCCTAAAAATAATGAACTTGGGCTTTGGGCCTAAGAAATCGAAATCAGGCCTTAGCACAAAAAACCCAAGCCCGTAAATTTAAACCTCTAAATTGAAAGCCTAATTCATCGAATCCTAGATAAATTTGGTGTCTACAGCTGCCCCTTTTTACACATTGTTGAGAATCAGAGATAAGGTCAAGACAAAGACAATAAATTTGTCCAAAGGCAATTTGAGGATTTTCAAAAGGTTTTTTTTTTGTTTTTTTTT